GTGGTGGCAGCCCTACCTTGCAAAGTAGGTGTACTGGTTTTCAGTGCTGAATCTTGTGTATTTTTGGATTTCCTGGAAGCACTGTCAACTCTAATTAGACTAAAGGTGTTGAAAGGCACTGGGGCCAGGCAGGTTTCTTAGTCATTACCACATTTGACTCTCCTAGGTTCACCTGCACCAAGGTAAGCAGTGGAGTGTGACTGAGTCCCTGAGAGAGGGACTCCCTGAACCCGAGAACCATCACAGACTACAACTGACAAATATTGGCAAACCGCCTTGATCAGAGAGGAAATACAGCATGCATACAATTTCTAAATGCAAAACACACGAATTCCATTGTGAGAAAAAAATAAACAAAGCCTTGCAACCTGTTATGAACAAAAGATGAGATGGGAATGTGGAAGTTATTTGGCAACACTCTGTGAAATAAACACTGAGAGCTTTTTACATCCCTAGCGATACTTGACCATTAAGGAGGAGGCTGCAGCTGCAGCTCTTGAATGGTTATATATATATAAATATAAAACACTCCACAGTATTTCTATAGCTGCTAGACTAAAGACAGAAGAAAATATATGAGATAAGACTAAATACGTTGTCCAACACTGACTACACAGTATGGACATAGCATTCTTAAACGACTGCAATCAAGTTTCCAGGATAAAGTGTAATATTATATTGCCCCAGTGAATTTACATCATATTCACTACCAAGAATTTTAAGGGAAAATATGTCAACTACTGGATTTCTATCCAAGGCTCCGCAAAACAGCTTGATAAGGCTAACATTGGCTTCTGCTCTCTTCTGAAATCTACACAGATGTGAGCTGATGGAGTGAAACACAGCCAGTGAAGACCACAGTCCATTCCTTAAGTCTAAGAGTCCTAAGATTTCTAAGCAGAGCTGGTCCTGGGGATCAGCAAGTCCTTGCCATTTTTAATGCTTGCCCCATGCATCAAATTTACAATGTTCTTAAATTTACACACAAAAAATAAGATTTAAATTGTTTAATTTTAATTTTATTTTATTTGTGTACCATCGAGTCCATTCTCACTTATGGTGATCGTTTCTAGGTTTTTTTAAGGTATAAAATACACAGAAGTGGTTTTTTCCATTCCTTTCTTCTGCGGGCACCCTGGCACTGTGCAGCTCGACCAAGGCTGCAGAGGCTGCATCTTCTCCTGGGAGGGGCAGTGGAGACTCAGCCTCCAAACCTTTGGCTCTACAGCCAGGTACCAACTCACTGAGATGAGTACTAATAGTGTAATAACGTTCCTCTTTGCTCATTAGTCTGAAAGAAATGGACATCTGAGTTTCTCAAATGCCTATAGTGAACAAAAAAATTACAGAGCCTCAAGTGAAGAGAAAACTTAAACACAGAGTGCTCTCACAGCCACTCCTTAGAAGATTTTTGATATAGTCATTCAGAATTAACCCAGAAGTATCCCTATCCATAAATTGTGGTTATTTGTCATATTTCTTTGTATCTCTATGTACTGAACATCATAAAGACTCATATGTCCTGGGAACTGACAAGGTTCATTTTTGTGGGTGGGGGGTGGGTGTGAAATAACAACATTTTTTCTTTTAACTGCTGGATAGCTCAGTGGTTTAGGCATCTACCTGTAGAGCCAGAGGTTGGGAGTTCAATTCCCCACTGTGCCTCCTTGAGAGGCCCTGGATTCAATGATCCATACGGTAACTTTCAGCTTTATGGTTCTATTCTATTCTGTTCTGTTCTATTCTATTCTATTCTATTCTTCTGCTTCATGATCCTCTAAATATGTAGAAAGCACTGTGTTATTTGGGGCCATTTAGGGAATAGTAAGCAATATTATCAACTGTAATGTCATTATAGTTTAGTGTAACATATAATATTTACTTGTTACTCCTAAAATGTTACTTTCAGGAGAATTTTTTAACTTTTTCCTAATATTTAAGAGAATAAACAGTAATAAAATGACTAAAATCTAAGAGAGCAGCATATTACCATCTCACTAATCTTTAAATAACAAATAAAAGTAATGTGAACAAATCAGTTTCATTTTTAGTTTTTTGAAAAAGCAATTACATTTTTAAAATAATGTTCCAAACTTCGCTGATAGGCATTCAGCCTCTTGAGAATGATTACACTTATTCTGCATGTTGTTTTAAATATCTACATAATTTAAAAACTGTATCACCCTGACATTCTGGAATATATTAGGATTTATATAAAGCCAAATAAAATATTCTCCACCCTGCTTCATAGATTGACAAGACCAAAAACACATCCTACACAGAGCAGCTGAATGTATACTGGATCGATTACAAGTCTTCAGTTTGTTTTTTTAAAAATTAGTTCACTAGCCTAAAAATATTCTTGACAGACTGTTCTAGGTAATCAAGATAGAGGAAGGCAAATGTGAAATATAGACCATAATTACAAGGGTTTTCTAAAAAAAGCAAGATGAAGTTGAGGAGTATTTATTAGAGGGAAGGCAATACTGCCTGCTTAATTATTTTATTTATTTATTTATTTATTTATTGGACTTATATACCGCCCCATAGCGCTACAAGCACTCTCCGGGCGGTTTACAATTTTTTAATTATACAGGCTACACATTGCCCCCCCAGCAAGCTGGGTACTCATTTTACCGACCTCAGAAGGATGGAAGGCTGAGTCAACCTTGAGCCGGCTACCTGCGATTTGAACCCCAGGTCGTGAGCACAGTTTTAGCTGCAGTACAGCGTTTTAACCACTGCGCCACGAGGCTCCTAATTAATAAAACATTAAATTTTAACCATACTGAATTATACAATAGTTAAGTGGAATATGAATATTTAATGGTATGGAAGTTGTGGGAACTTCATAAAGATGGAATTTAAACATTTGCAGTCTCTGTGGCAAAATTATGATGACTTCGTCTTATATTACTGCTAATTTTTCAGATGCTCCCCTTGCTTTCCTAATGTGTAAGAGACCTGCTGGATCATATCATAGGTAGTCCAGGACTGTGCTCTAATAGAGGCCGTCAACAATGCTTATGGGAAGCCCGCAAGCAAGGAATGAGGTCAGTAGAACTCACCTGCTATTGGTCCCTAGCAAACAATATCAAAAGATTTCCAGGGAGCAGTAGCCTTGTTAGTTTGTTCCAGCAAAAACACCATGGAATCTTGTAGCACTTTATAGACTCAGATGCTGTTTGACATAAGCCACAGCAACAGACCTCATGAGAGAGACACTGATCCTGAAACCAGATCCTGTAGTACAGCTGGATGCCGGCTCTGTCCCTAAGCTTACACTGAAAACATAATTAAAGGGCCTAAAAATGTAATGTAGTGTACTCTGCAGTATTAGAAGTCTATACAGCTACATAATGTCCAATGTGATGTATTACCATCTTTTGCCAAAAATGTCTCATAGCACTTCATATAAGACAGATGGGCCAGTCTTTATCCAAAATAATAAATGGAAACAGGACTGTAATGCTTTTTCTCATCCAGCCCACTGCATGGATAATGGCATTAAGGAACAGAATAAGATTGGCAGTGCCAGAGTTTTAATGAAAAAAAGGGAAGATAGTCTTCAAAAGGTACTAAGAAAAATGTCTGATAATTTACAGAAGAATTCCCAAGTTCTTGCCTAGAGCATTTCAACCACTCTTCAGTAGAGACAGTGGTTGTTTTCATCTGAATAACACATTTCTTTGTCTTGTGGATAAGTAAGTTATGTAAGAGATTAAAAAGCAACGGAACTGGGCCAAGGTACAGAAAATAATTTCTTTAGACCTGACAGTCTTTAGAAAGCAACATTTCTGCACCTCCCCATGTCATTTCAAGATGAAGCACGCCTTTCCTACAGAATATGTGAGGATAATGGATCATTTCTGAGAAATAAAATTACCACAGAATTATGAACCCATTTTAAAATGGAAACAGCTAAAATATTGAAAAAATGAATGTAAAACATGCTTTAGTTAATGTAGGAAAGGTGTAAATTAGATAAAGTATGTAAATAAACATGTACATTAGGTAAAATGCATGAATAAACATGCACATTTGGGAAAAAATATGAAAAATGTGTATGAATTTCAATTCCAGAAGAAAAATGCCATATTGCAATATGAGAAAGCATAGGGAAAAACACATCCATGGTTAAAAGAAAACCCAAAAAAACCATAAACAAAACAAAAACTCAAGGCACATGTGTGATTGCATCAGAAAGAGCGGCTTTATCAGGAACTTTCAGTGGAAGATGTGTTTTAGGACTCAGAGGGATTTTCAGGGCTAGGGTGACTGCTTACCTTTCTTACTAACCTATTGGGAAAGTTTATTTCCTCAGGCTTGAGACACTGTGTGTCCACTGTGTGTTTAACTCCTCTCCTTTATTTGTGTCCACTGTGTGTTTAACTCCTTTTTTGACTTTTGAGGAGAACAGACATGATTTATCTCTGCTCCTATCTTTTGCCACAGAGCTGCAATGGAAAAACTAAACCTCAAATAGTTGGGACTGGACTTTGTTTCTTTTATTCTCCCTTACTTTCCTGATTGTAGTTGAAGAATTAACTGTGGGTAAAGATGCATTTATATTATTTACAGTGTGATTTATTACAAACAAAGAGAGATGGATTGGAAGCTGGATTTTTAGCTATACTCTGTCATGTTTCCCTGTGCTGTACCTGGTTTATTTTTGTACATTATGCTCTGCTGACAAAAGAATCAACCAAATTGCTAAATAGACCCAACAAATAGATTGCACCAGATCACTCCACCAGTGATCCAAATAGTGATCTATTTCCCCATGTGATCTAAGTCTGAAATGTTCTGTGAGACATATAACTGTGAATTTCGTTGTATGTGTATATACTTACAATGACAATAAATTATTATTATTATTATTATTATTAGGCTGAAAGCATATACTTTACAGCATTTGGTATGTCATGAGGCTTTTCCAAGATTGCCACACCTGGAGAAGTGGAATCTTCATTCACAAATTTCAGAAACCTTTTACTTACATATGTGAAATTTTCAAATGATGGCTTTACTGTTTGTAGAAGTAGCATCTGAATCACTGGATCTAAATCTGCAAAATAGAAAGATGGGAAACAAATTGTGTTTCATTTTATAACAAAGCTGAGGGAAGAAACAAAACTTTATGTTGCACAAATACAATAATTGCTAAAGTAAATATATGTTAGAACAATGGGGCTATTGTTATACTTGTTAGGGTGGGGTTTCCCATTATTTTGTTGGCTGATAGCTTGTAAACAGGGTATATTCCAACTGGTTTCTTATAACAAATGTGTTTTAGTGTTACATTAGATTCTCTGAAAAGAATGGTTAAATAAACTGCATATGTAATCAGGAATGAATTCCATGAAACCTTCACAATCATATCACAAAGGGGTTATTCGTTTTTAATTCCGCTGTTCTGGTATGTAACACCTATGTTATAAAAATGAATGATGACACAAGATAAACATTAACACGTTCCCAGCTAGCTTTAAACCTCTGTCTCTTTCTCTTGAAAGAGAAAGAGAAAACACACAATGTTTTACGAGAATAATAATAGTGGCCTGCCTTCTTCAACTCCTCCGTAGTCTATACAACAGACTGGCAAGACAGGCCACTATTATAAAACACTGTGTGTTTTCTCTTATACATATATACATGCAGCTTTTTAAAAAAGAAGGAATTGTGACATATGGTGACTTTTTATATAGTTTTGTTAATTCAGAATTTTTATTCTTTTTTTAATACAGCAGAAGGACAATTACGATTTCCAGCAAAAGACATCTCCCTAACTTTACACCCACTTTTTACTTCAGAAGCAACCATACATGATTGATAGAAACTGGAATATGTTCTGTCATAAATTTGAGTGTAAAAGCGAAGGTAGCATTTGACTGAAGAAGGGAGCCATAAGCTAT